ACAGAGTGCCTGCTGCGATTCCAAAACCTTCCCATCCAATAACCACATCAATCATTCAGCTTCTCACTGCTTTCAGTACAACATTATTACATTTACATGACAGATGAAGAAATCACTGCCGGTGATGGTGTTGAACTTATGTATCTCAGAAAACGAATATTTCTGAGTGTATTAATGGCACAATTGTCATTTAAATGTTCTTTACTAAATATTTCAGAAGTCCTGTACCTTTAAATTCATAATTTGTATTATTATTTAGCTGGGAGTTCATTCATCGCTAAACCTTTTGAAAATGTGTACCTCAGAGTTCAACAGGACCATGATCAGATGGGCCAATGGGCTGAGGAATGACAGATGGAGTTTAATTTAGATAAATGTGAGATGCTGCATTTTGGACAGGCATATCAGGGCAGGACTTATACACTTAATGACAAGGTCCTGGGGAGTGTTACTGAACAGAGGGACTGTGGAGTACAGTTTCATAGTTCCTTGAAAGTAGAAACAGAGGTAGAGAAGATAGTAAAGAAGGCATTTGGTATGCTTGCCTTTATTGGTCAGTGCATTGAGTATAAGAGTTGGGAGGTCATGTTGCAGCTGTACAGGACGTTGGTCGGGCCACTTCTGGAATACTGCATTCATTTCTGGTCGCCCTGCTATTGGAAGGATGTTGTGAAATGTGAAAGAGTTCAGAAAAGATTTACAAGGATGTTGCCAAGGTTGGAGGGTTTGACCTATCTGGAGAGGCTGAATAGGCTGGGGCTATTTTCTTTGGAGTGTCAGAGGCTGAAGGGTGACCTTATAGAGGTTTATAAAATCGTGGGGGGCATTGATAGGGTCAATAGCCAGGTCTTTTCCCCAGGGTGGGGGAGTCCAGAAGTAGAGTGCATAGATTTAAGGTGAGAAGGGAAAGATTTAAAAGGGACCTAAGGGGCAACGTTCTCACACAGAGGGTGGTGAGTGTATGGAATGAGCTGGAAGGAAGTGGTGGAGGCTCGTACAATTACAACATTTAAAAGGCATCTGAGTGGGTATATGAATAGAAAGGGTTTAGAGGGATATGGGCCAAATGCTGGCAAATGGCACTAGATTAATTTAAGATATCTGGCTGGCATGGACGAGTTGGACCGAAACGTCTGTTTCCATACTGTTCAGCTCTATGACTCTATGTGTCTTTGAATCAAAAAAATGTTTTGGATTACTCTGCTAGCAATGGCTGACAGACTGTTGTCTACAGAAATCTCCTCGGGCATATGTCAAATAATCTTAACAGTGAACAAAATAGAGGTAGGCAAAGGGAAGGGGAAAGAAATTGACAAGCTACCTGCTTTATACAAATTAGCAAAATTTATACTCTTAAGGTTTTGGTTACAGATGTCTCAATTAAAATAGAAAATGCTGCACAGACTAGCTGCATTTACCAACTTCACAACATTGGTACTTGTGACTTTTGTCTGGTTAGACAGAATGCCAATTGATAACGGGTCAGTTTTCTAAACTATTTCAGCTACATTTTTAAAATTCATTCATGGGTTGAGGGTGTCACTGTCTAGACCAGTATTTCCAGGAACACAGCAGGCCAGGTAGCATCAGAGGAGCAGGAACTTTGATGTTTCAGATCAGGACCCTTCTTCAGAAAGAAAGAAGAGTCCTGATCCAAAATGTCAACTTTCCTGATCCTTTGATGCTGCCCGGCCTGCTGTGTTCCTCCAGCTCCACATTGTGTTGTCCCTGACTCCAGCATCTGGAGTTCTTGTTATCTCCTAGACCAGTATTTATTGCCCATCCGACAGTTAATAGTCAACCACATTGCTATGGGTCTGGAGTCACATGTAGGCCAGACCAGATAAGAGCAGCAGATTTCCTTCCCTGAAGGACATTAGCAAACCAGATTTTGTTTTCCTGACAATCAACTGGTGCAGACAGAATGGTCATCATTAGACTCTAAGTTCCAGATTATTATTGAATTCAAATTCCACCATGGCGGGATTCAAACTCAGTTCCCCAGAACATTATCTGCATTTCTGGATAATACCACTAGGTTATCACCTAGCCTATATTAATACCATATAGTTTTTATAAAGTCCTTTCACCTGTTGGAGACTGAGTTTTATAAACCAACTGTCAATCTACATAAAATACTTTTTTAAAACCACGTTAATACTAAACCTTTTGATTTTTTGAGTGGTTGTTTGCCTTTATTGCTATTGCCGAATTAAGTTTTTTTCTATTGCAGTGTTTATCTGATGCTCAGTCACTAACTGAGCTCAAATGGATGTAAGACAATTTTTTCTTACATTTAAAAAGGGGCAGGGGTGCAGTGTGGGTCAGAAAGGAGAATTGGCGGGGTACGCACAAACACTTGTGCTTTCATCACTAATTTGCAGATGAGGACAGAGAGATTTGTGTATCGAATTGCGCAGGCTGTGCCCCAGGAAGGTGTTGCTTTGTTCTGGCTTGGATGCTACTTTCACCTGCCTCTTTGTGTTATTGTTACTGCTGCTGCTACCAAATCAGCAGTAGCTGGTACAGCCGGAGATGTGGGGCCTTTCTCTGCTGCGCTGGGAAATAAGGTGGAAGGAACCAATGGTACAGTCAGTCAACTAAATTGGGGTTGGTGTTGCTGATGCCCAGGAAGAGACTGGATTATAATCAGAGTCATACAGCACAGAAACAGACCCTTCAGTCCAACATGTCTGTATCGACCTGACATCCCAATCTGACCTAGTCCCATATGCCAGCATTTGGCCCACACCACTCTAAACCTTTTATATTTATATACCCTTTAAATGTACTTGTACCCACCTCCACCACTTCCTTTGGCAGCTCATACACCACCCTCTGCGTGAAAAAGTAACTCCTCAGGTCCTTTTTAAATCTTTCCCCTCTAACCTTAAACCTACACTTTTTAGTTTTGGACATCCCCCATCCCTGGGGAACGACATTACATGTTCACCCTATCCGTGTCCCACATGATTTTATAAACCCCTATAAAATCACCCTTCAGCCTCTGATGGTCCAGTGATTTGGAGCAGGAACTGAAGCATTACAAGGCAGTGGTCACTCCCAAAGCTCCCTTGGGCTGCTATCACTGCTGGAGACCTGTTTCGTGCTGTTTAGGACAGACCCACTCCTCCTGTGGATGTACAATCACTGTAATACAAGTGGAGAAACAGGTCCATTCCCCTTTTGGCAACGAGGGTTGAGGGTATTTTTTTTTAAAAAAAATACCAGTCAGGACCAAAGCATCTGAAAATCAGACTTTCTGATGTAAAAGTGGATGAGGAGACGCCAGAATCACGTTTTGAAGGGGGTGGGTGAGAGAGAAGAAAGAAATTCACTTTAAAAACAGGCCAACGTGAGGCTTCGCAGATCAATCCATACACAGTCTCCAAGAAGAAGCCCGGAGACTTACTGTCCGCTAACAAAAACAGAAATCGCCAGAGATACTTATTAAGCGTGGGGGACACTGTAGAGTGAGAGAAGAACAGGATTAATGTTCCGAGTCCAGTGACTCCCCTCCCTCAGAACTCGGGCCTTGTGTCTGTCTCTGCAGGTGCTCCCAAACCTGCTGAATTTCTCCATCGACTTGTTTTAGATTTTCAGCATTCATTTGATTTGATCTGAATTATTGTTTGGTGTCCTGGCCAACATCCCAAAAGGGTTGGAGCGAAGAAAAAGAAGTGATTCGGCCCATACTGGCCGCACTAGCTCTTCAAATGAGCGCTCTATGACTCGGTGGCAATCTCTGGGTCGCCCGCCCCCCCGCGGATTGGATGACTCATTGCCTCGTCCAGGCAGTGCAAGGCAATGCTCCAGACCGAACCACTCGCTGTTTGAAAACTCCTTCCATGTCCCGCACGTATTTATCCGCCGTCGATCGCGTCGCTGTCTGTAGAATGTTGGCTGTCGCCGTCCTTTACCAAGATGGCGTCGTTCGTCCAGCACCTAGCGAGGGTTGCGCTTGCGCATACCGGAAGGCATCCGGCCGCCGTTACGTCGTGTTTCCACGTGCCTAATACAGTTGCTGGGATTGGCTGATCCGCGGCCGGGGCCGATTGACGACCTGATCGGATTGGAGAAATCCAACGTAGCAACGGCGCCATTTTGCCCGAGGAAAGTGACGAACTGGAATTGATAAAATCGCCAGGTTCGTCCCGGTAAGAGAAAATAAAACACCGCAGCGGCGGAGGTAGAGTGCGCGAGGGGCGGCGGCGGCGGCTTTGGGTTCGGGGCGTGGTGGCAGCTTGCCGCGGCGGGTGGTTTGAGGGTGTTCCCCCCTCCCCCCTCGTGTGGGCAGCGTTGGCAGAGACACAGGACAATAAGACTGCAGCTCATTGGCCGTGAGTATGTGAGCAGCAGAGAGCCCGAACCTGCTGGGATCAGTGCGGAGGTGGAGGTGGGGGTGGGGGCAAGGAGGAGTGTCTGTAAGGAGGAGGTGGTTGTAGAGGGGCTAGGAGGAGGAGAAGGACGGCTGGGGAGAGTAGACGGAGTATGGGTTGAAGTGAAGTGAATGGGATGGTGTGGTAGGTGAGAAGGTGGAGGGGCAGAGGGGCAGAGGGATGGGGGAGTAGGCGTGGGGGAGGAGTTAGG